TCCATGACGATGGCCAAAGGTCCTCCCAACACACAGCCCTGGGGCACGTAGGACAGGGAGGAGTCACTGGGCAGGGCCCACCTGAGGGCTGTGACTTGGGTCGCCACGGACTCGTCCCAGGTGGCTTGGTGTGCGTGGGGCTTTCTTCTCCGGGAGCCGCTGGGGAAGCCCAGCCTCAACCCAGCCAGCCCCAGAGGCAGCCTCTGCCCCTTCAGAACACAGGGGAGGCTGGCTCTCCAGGTGGGCGAGTGACCCACTCTGTCCTTGAGGGCATGGGTGTGTCACAGGAAGGGCTGGTGACAAAACCCTGACTGGCCCCACAGGAGGTGTGGGTTCCGACCCTGCTTCCTGTCTGCCGGGACACTGGGCAGGCGGCTGAACCTCCTGAGCCCCTCCTCATTCTGGGGCGAGCGTGACGGCTGTTACTCATGGTTCTCGGCCTCTGAGCTCAGTCCAGCACGGTGGGCGCTCCACTCACACCCCCGAAACCAGCAGCATGAAGATCTAGGTTAGATTCCTACCTGCTAAAGCAGATTTTGGGGAGGGTTCTCTCCTGAAGGAAGCAGGGCCATCCCACACAGAGACCAGGACAGGACAGGGTGCTCTAGGAGAGACGTTGGGGATGGCTGCCCCAGGGGTGACCTGGAGGGGGTCACCCTGGGAGTATGTTGGTGGGCACGTGGGTGACATAGCCCCAAGTACCTGCAGACACTGGAGTGAGACCCCTGGGTCAGAGGGAGGGATGTCCAGAGGTGGACCCATTGGGGGTGCCAGGGCTGCTGTGGGTGCCCCTGGCTCAGGATTGGGGTGGAGGTGTTGGTTCCACCGGAGCAGCTGGACTCTGGTCCTCAGAGGGGGGCTGGGGACTGGTGACCAAGGCAGGCCGGTCGGTAAGAGTCCTCAGGCTCAGGCCTGGAGGGTGGCAGCAGCCCACGTGGGTCACACTTCACAGTGGCCGGCACTGAATGCCATGTGCTCCACGTCACCTGCTCAGAGCAGGTGAAGGGACTGGAGGCGCATGAGGGACGAGCCAGGAGCACAAGTTTCCACGGAAAATGTCAGCAACAGAGGCGAAGGCCCTGCCAGCGGCCTGTGCTCACAGGCCGCTCGGCCTCCCCGCGCCCCTGGCCCCGGGCATCTGGGAGGCAGCTGTGGGCTGGGAGAGGGAGGGCTTTCCTGCCACGGGGAACCTGGACCCGCCTGTGGGGAGCGTGCCCAGGGTGCCAGGAGCTGCGGGTGCCCGCCCCCGCCGTGAGCCCAGGACTCTCCGCCTCCCGTGTATTTCAACACCAGGTCCCACCCCAGGGCTTGCTAAGAGGACCCACCTGAAGCCCCCTCCCCTGAGGCTTGGGCATGCAGGGCTTGGCCAGGCCTGGACAGTCATGGGGCAGGTGTGGGGCCGGCCCAGACAGCACCGGACCTCGAAGGCCAGCAATGGAGCTGTTCAGGAACCTGGGATGAATGAATGATTGACCTGGAAGATTTCAGGGTGACTCAGACTGCATTTTGAGGGGGGAAAACCAGGCTTGGCCTACTGCAGGCCTCTTGCAGGATTCCCTGACTGTGCGGCCCCGGCCCAGAGTGGCCTCCACCTGAGGTTTGGGAGCAGACGCAGTTAGAGCCTGGCCAGTGGCCTCTGGCAGCTCCTCTGGCCTCTCTGAGTGCCAGTCTCCACATCTGTAGGGCAGGGACCTTGCAGGGCAAGGATGCAGGGGACGATGGGAGGACTTGGTGTCTCGAGTGGAAAATCCCCGCACAGAGCCAGCAACTCTGCCACATTTTCTGAATCATCAACCACATCTGAGTGTTTATGCTCCAACCCTGCTGTCTTCACAGCACCTTGAACTCCCTCACTGGCTCGCTGCGGACGTCCCAGCAACCCACACACCCCAGAGCAGTACATTTCCACTCACACAGGATCCTGCCCTACGTTCAGGGTGTGGGAATCTCGTGTATTGTAATAACTTTAAAAAAATTAAATCAAATCACCACTTTAACCACCTTAAGTGGGACTTAGGGCTTTGCCATGCTATGCAACCATCACTTCTATCTGGTTCAGGAACTTTCCATCACCTCAAATGGAAATTCCACACCTCCTAAGTAGTCACTCCCCTGTCTTTCTTCCCCCAGCCCTGGCAACCACCATTCCACTTCGTCTCTACAATTTTCCTATTCTGGGCATTTGTTAAGCTTCCTCCACACTGTGCCAAGGGCTCCCTTCCTTTTTATGGCTAAATAATATTCCATTGTATGGATATACCACATTCTGTTTACCCAATCATGTGTAATTGAGCAGTTGGGTTATTTTCACTCCTTGGCAATTGTGAATAGTGCTACCACGAACATTCATATATAAGGCTTTGTTTAAACACCTGTTTCATTCAATTCTTTTGGTTCTATGCCAACAAGAAAAATTTCTGGGTAACTTGATGTTTAACTTTAACTCTCTGCCAAACTGCTGTGTGCAGAGGCCACTGGGTTTCCTGCTCTCGCTGCAGTCTGGGAGGGCTCCAGTTTCCCCAGGTCCTCGCCAACACTTGTTATCTAGGGTGGCAGCAGTTCCCTCATGAGGAGTGTGGCTGGTCACTCTCAGGTGCTTGGCTGGCCGTTGGTGGACCTTTTAGGAAACGTCTCTCTAAGGCCCCTTTAAAACTGGGGAGTTTGTCTTCTTGCCGTTGATTTGCCTCTGGTGAGCTTCTGGGGACTCCCTTGTTCATTGGTGGGGTGCTTGCCCACCCCACAGAGGCTCGGGGACCCCACATGGGCCTCTGCTGAGACCAGGATGCAGCCCAGGTTGGCCCTGTTCTGCTTGAGGAGCTGGGTTGGACATAGGCACTGAGGGGTCACTGCTGGCCTCAGTGCCGAGGGCCGAGTTTGGACACAGAGGGGCTGTCCCTGGCTCTGGAAGGGAAGCGGGGATTTCCAGACAGATGGGGGGGCAGAGGGCCCTGCAGACACAGCATGGTGGGAGGTGGGACAGCGGGAGGTCATCAGAGGCCAGACCCTGGGGCCTCTGATTGTAGGTGAAGGGCAACGAGGGTGGGCGGTGACCTGATCAGATGGGGTGCGGCTGGAGTCCTCGGTGGGTGCTGTCTGGAGGAGGGAGACCAGGGCTGGGGCCATTGCAATGGTCCTCTGCTGCTCCCAGGGTCCTTTAGGGTCCCCTGGCTGGACTCCAGCAGACAGCGGGGGCTTGTGTCCTGAGCCTATGGGGAGAACTGGGGAACGAGAGCATCCTTTAGGTCCAGAACCAGGACCTGGAGTGGCTCCAACTTAAGGTGGCGGCTGGTGCCCGGCTGGGTTCCCATCCATCTCTCGGCCGTTTCCAAGGATCTACGGTTACCTTGGGCTGAATTCCCCAGATTCCAGCCCGCTCCCAGCCCCACCCGTCCAGATGCCCTTCCTCTACGCCAGCCTGGGGCGTGTCTGCCCATTGTGCCCGTGGGAGACCCAGGGGGATCTTGGCCAGATTATCCGGTGGGGCGGACAGGCAGGGCCAGAGGATTGAGTGTCACTGGGCTCGGCTGCAGCACGTGCTGGGGGCTCGGGCCACACAGGGACCGTCCAGCTGCCTTGGTGCTCAGTATCCTGGAAAAACACTGCTCTTCTCTCAAGAACGGGCAGGCCCTGGGGACCGGGCCTGGAGGTGGCCCCCTCCCACGCTGGGCCGCGCCCTGGAGGCCTGGCCTGCTGTTTTGGAAGCAGCCCGCCTGGCCTGTCCGGCCCTTCTTGAGACCCAAAGTCGGCCCAGCCGCTGTGGAGAACAGTTTGGCAACTCCCTAGAAGACGAAAGAATTACCACACAGTCCAGCAGCTCCGCTCCTAGGCACCTGCCGGGGAGGTGGAAAACAGGAGCCCAGAGGAAACCTGCTCCGGCCTCAGCCGCGCCCCACGCCGCGGTGGAAATCACCGAGTCCCTTTAGGGGAACAGACGGATGGGACTTGGCCCCTGTGCCTCGGAATAGTATTCAGCCTTAAAAAAGTATGAAACAGGGCCGAGGGCCGCGGTGTGGAGGGAGTTTCAAAGCAGGGTGCTCCGTGGAGGAGCCCTCACAAAAGGGCCGTGTTGTGTTTCCACGGTGACAGGCAGCCATGGGACCCGCCAGGGCCAGGCAGGAGCAGGGAGGGACGGCCGAGGGGCACGGAGCTTCCTCTTGGCGTGATGGACGGGCGGGGGGCAGGGGGACACCCTGCGCGTCCTGAACACAGGGGATGCCGCACTGAGATGGTCAGTTCTACGTTATGTGACTTCACCTCATTAAACAAACAAACTTGCTGACACCCCAAGTGGACAGGGACTGGCAAGAGGCTTCCTGCCGGGGCTGCCAGGAGGTTCATCACCCAGGTGCCCCCGGGGGGCAAGGGGCGCCCCGAGGAACCAGCACATAGTAGGTGCTCAGTTCACTGCCCTCCGTTTCTGCCCCGAGCAGCTGGTCACCCAGAGGCTGTGGTGGTCCTCCTGGGGGTAGCTTCCTCCTGCGCTCGTCTGAGCCTGTGTGGTGGTGGGGACAGGTGTCTTAGAGGCTGTGGAAACCAGGCTTGGGCTGCCCTCCCGAGGTCACCTGTGGGCTGGTGCTGGTGGCCTGTGAGTGGGCCTGCCCAGCAGCCGGCCTGGCGGCCCACGGGGTGCGAGAGGGAGTGGGTGGGTGGATGGTGGCGCAGAGGCAGCGCTGCGGCTTGGGGGCCGGGCAGATGTGCTGAGTGGGGGCCGTCGAGTCCCAGGAGTGAGGGTCTCTGACCTGCAGGGTCGGGGGTCCCGGTGTCTGCATGTCGAGGGGCTGTGATTCTGTGGTTCCTGCAATCTGGAGCCAGGAGGGCCTGGGCGTGGTGCTGTGGCAAGTGGCCCTCGAGGGCAGGGACCTGCTGCTCACTGCTGGGCAGGACTTGGCACGTGGGAGGTGCTTGGTGAAGACTCACCGCCAGGCTGAGCGGAGGCCGGGTGGGGAGGCGGGTGCCCTGTCCCCGGCCTCACGGCCTCCGTCTCCCCCTTGCCTCCACAGAGCACTGTCGTCCGTCGTGGCCCTGGGAGCCAACATCATCTGCAACAAGATTCCCGGCTTGGCCCCGCGGCAGCGCGCCATCTGCCAGAGCCGGCCCGATGCCATCATTGTGATCGGGGAGGGGGCGCAGATGGGCATCAACGAGTGCCAGTACCAGTTCCGCTTTGGGCGCTGGAACTGCTCCGCCCTTGGTGAGAAGACCGTCTTTGGACAAGAGCTCCGAGTAGGTAAGGAGCCTGGGCCCGCGGCTGGTCCTTGGGCCAGGGGAAGGGGGCAGTCACCCACGGCACACTGCAGGCCAGGCCCCGTGGTGCTATCTGCTCACGCCTCCCACTGACCAGTGCTCTGCGTCCTCTCCCTGAGGCCTTCTCCTGGCTTGGTGGGGGGGCACCAGGAGGACCCAGACCTGGACTGTCCCTGGGACACACTGTGTCTGGGGCCGGGGCGGCCTCATGGGGCCAGGCTGTGCGCGAGGGCGCTCCTGGGGTGAGGTGAGGACAGGGAGGAGCGGGAAGGTGGGGCCTGCACTTCCCCAAGTGGGCAGGTGTCCTGCTGTGTGCAGGGGCCCCCCAGCCTGGCGGGCCACTTGTCTCTCTGTGCTTCGGAAAACGGGGGTGATGCAGTTTTCTGTGTGAGGTTGTGGGGGGCTGGGGGTGCTCTGGCTTGGGTGGAGGGCAGCCATGGCAGAGCAGGGGTGGCGCTGGCTGGGCAGGGGCAGGCCTCTGGTGTGGTGACAGCAGGCAGTCCCGGATCGTGGAAGTCAGAGTGACGGGCCTCTGCTGTCGCACTGTCCGTGGGTCCCCAAGGCCCCTTCCTGGCCCACAGCCCTGGTGGCAGGCTTCACGGTGCCCGTTTCTCAGATAGGGAGACGCAGGGGAGGGCGGGGAGCCCACCCGAGGGCCCAGAGAGTGGCTCCAGGAAAAAGGGACCTCGGAGCCCGACTGGGTTTGAGCCCAGCTGTGTGGCCTTGGCCACCTCACCCCGCGCTCTCGCCTCCTTGGTGACGGGAACTCCAAGCCAGCAGGCCCTCCTGGGTCCCTGGTGCTTCTCCCAGTGATTGCATGCAGGTGGTGCTCAATAAACTGCAGCTGGCTGCAGGAGAGAGGGGTTAGTGATCTGCCCTGCCCTGCGAGGGTCAGATCCGGGAGGCGTGGGCTGTGGCGGGTGCGGGCACTGCTCCTCACCCCGGAGGCTGACAGCCTGGCCACGATCGGGGCTGCAGCTGCCGGGACCCAGGCCAGAGCGGGCCCTGCCGGGCGGGGAGCGCCAGCGTGGAAGCGGGTGGCACAGGGGAAAGCCCCGGGGCCCCTTTGCGGTGAGCAGCCTGTGGGTGGCACCTGGCGCAGCCAGGAGGATGGCACCACCCCCTCCCTAGGGCTCTGCCACCCAAGTGCTGCTCCCCCCGTGCCAGCTGGGGAGGGGGAGGGCGTCCGCACAGTGCCCGCTGAGCCATGCTGGCGGTCCCCTTCCTGCCTGGCCTGCAGCCCCGAGCCCCCTGCCCACACCTGGGCAGGCTGAGGCCGGTGGTGGGGTCCTGCTGTCCTTGGTCTGCACCAGGCAGAGCTGGGGTGGACCAGGTGTCTGCCACCCCTTCTGGTCATCCTCGGTGCCCCATCGTGTTCACGATGACATGGACACTATCCTGAGCCTTGGGACTGGGGTGGGAGCTTGGACTGCATTTGACACCTGGGACAGAGGGGCGAGGGACACAGTGGTCACCCTGAGCCTCTCCTGTGGCCCCCGTGAGTGTGTGACTTCTGCACTGTCCTGCAGCAGTGACGCTGGCCCCCACAGCTGCCCACCCCCGTGGAGAACACTGTGGTGCCACCCAGGTCACCTTTGCTGAGTGGCCCCCTGCTCCTTCTTGGGGAGTGGTCTTGAGGCCAACAGGAGCGGAGACCCACAGGAGGGGCTGGAGCCAGCCTATCAAAGCCACCCTTCCTTCGAGACAGGGCAGCCACGTGAGCCGCTTGCACCCGAGTGCCCCTGGGCCCAGGTGTGACTGGCATGGTGGTCCCTTCCCGGGTCCCCACCCAGGAATGCTCCCAAGAGCCAACCCAGGACGCCCCTCCCACCTCCACGAGCTGCAGGCGAGTGTGGCCGAGTGGCTCAGTGGGTGGCCCTCCCTCCCAGCTCCCTTCTCCCCCACCAGTGCTCCTTGTCCAGGCCGGTGGGGACCCCGGGCAGCTGCCCAGCCCCTCTCCCTTGTCTGGGTGGGGCCTAGCTCCCCGGCCTGGGCCTCTTCAGTCTCCCCGACTCCTCCTCCTTGGCCTCAGCCCTGGCTGGGGGAGACCCACCTCCAGGCGCACCTGGCCCGTCTCTCCACTGACTCAGTCTTCCCTGTGAATCCAAGTCCCACTGACCCATGGGGACCTCTGGCTGTGCGACTCAGCATCTCGCTGCCCGCTGATTCAGCCTGCCAGGCCCAGCCTCTCGCCCACCTGACTCCTCCTTCACAGCAGGAACCTGTTGTCACTTCTGCTATCCAACCTGCGCTCTGCCCCATGGCCACTGCTGGGCCTGCTTCTCTGGTCCACCCCTCCTTGGCATTAGCCCCCCATCAATCAAAAGCTGTGCCAGGTTGCTACCTTCCTCCAGAGCCTGCAGTAGCTCCCTGTTGTCCTAGGATAAAGTTAGCTCCTGAGCCTGGGGTCTGAGTGGCTCCCTCCCAGACCTCACCCTTGGCCCAGCCGTGTGGCTTCTCAGTACCCCCTGAGCAGGCCAGGCTTCCCACTTCTCCGCCTGGCCTGGGAGGCCCCTGCTCTGCTCTGCCTTTTTGTGACTGGTGACCCTGGTCACCCTTGCACCTTTGCTGGATCCTCTCACATCCTGCGGCTTCATCCCCATAGCCTTGGCCCGGGCCAGCTCAGCCCAGGAGTGAGCTCCTGGCTTCCCCCGGGACGAAGGCCCAGGCTCAGCCAGGAGAGCTCTGGCTGCAGGCCCAGGGGGCTGAGGTCCATGGCAGGAATCCTGCCGGGCCCTGTGTCACCTCCTGACGGGGCACCTTCTCGTCCCAGGGCTCAGCTCCCGGGAGTCACGAGCAGCCAGTGGCTAGGCATAGGATGGCCCACGTCAGAGGTGTGCTGGGTGCTGGGCACGGACAGGAGCCAGGACAGGAGCTGGCAGGCAGCCGGGGCACTTGTGGGGGCAGCTACCCAAGCAGTGCCAATTAATGATTGGCCCCAAGAGGGGGATAGCCCTCTCAGGCCTTGCTGTGACCTTGGGCCAGGCCTGACTCTTGAGTGCACACAGGAAACCCCCTGAAAGTCAGTCCACCCCTGTGCGAGCCCCCACCTTCCACTGGTGGGAGGGGTTGCTGGTGCGGGGCTCACCACGCCGTGGACAGGCCTTCACATGACCACCTGGCACTGGCCTTGCCCTGGTGTCCTGTGGTGTGCATCGCTGTTCTCAGGAGGTCGAGGCCCATGCCAGGCCTCGTCCACTGACTCGGTCTCCCCTGGCAGCCTCCATCCTGTTTCCTGCCGTAAGCTTGTGGCCCGAGCGCCCGCCAGCGTCTCTTCCGTTGACTGGGACTGAGCCTGGGGAGGATGGGTCCCAGTGCAGCCGTGTTCTGTGCGGTGGGGAGGAGCGCAGTGAGGATACCTGTATTCCAGGGGCGTCCGTCAGACTTGGGTCCCCAGGGCACCTGGAAAGGCAGTCTAGTGGGCAGCATGGTCAAGTTGGGTTCTCACCAGGGCTTCCTGGAGGGAGTGACGCCGAGGGGAACCCTGGGACGGGCTCCAGGGACGGGGCATGTGCTGAGGCTGGGAGGCCTGGAAGTTGACGGATTTCCCTGGAACTACAGGACCTTTGAGGGCCATGGGCACTGGGAGGCCTGGGGCTGGAGGAGGGGGCAGGGCAGCGCTGAGCACCTGGCCTGAGTAGGTCCCCCCGGGCCCTCCAGCCCCTCTGAGCTGAGCCCCCAGGACCCATGACCCCAGGCCTGGCCCTGACTGCGTGCAGCCCCCAGCTTCACGGCTGCCAGGGAACAGGGAGTCCTACCCGTCATGTGCCGGCCTCAGACATGACCAGGCATAGGGCCGCCCTAATCCGGGCTCACGTGAGCGGCCTCGGGCCAGGTGCAGCTCTTCCACTCCTGCTGGCTCCGGGGTGACTCCGCTCGGGAGGCTTCCCAAGGCCTGCTGGGGCCCCGAGCCCAGGGCCACAGCAGCCAGGCTCAGGGAAGGCCTCGGGCACTGGGCGACACGGGGGCAGATGGACACATCTTGGAGTGACTGAGATGCGAGGGGCCCTGGGCTAGAGAGGGCTGGCTCTGGGACGCATTCTCTTACGACCCTGTGGGGCTTTGCAGACCAGGGGAGCGGTGGCACTATCTCCAGGAAGGACAGGCTGCCATCTCCTCAGGTGGCCACCAGCCTCTCTGATGGAGGGGTGCTGGTACTTGGTGCAAGCCGTGGGCGAGACGTCGTGGGCGCTGGAGACGCACACCCCGACGGCACGTAAAACTGCACAACCGCACTATTGATCCCATGTGAACGTGTGTTGGGGTGAAAGCATTTAATATGTTGCCAAATAAAATATTATCCAATTAAGTTCACCTGCTATTTCCCCAGCTCTTAGTGTGACTTCTAGAAAATCTTCAGTGTGGCTCACTTGAGATTTGCTGGGTGACACTGCTCTCAGAGGGGACAGGAGTAGCCCCAAGTCACCTGTCAGGACAGAGGGGACATTTGAATCCAGGCCTGACAGTGTCTTCCCAGGGGAGTTTTCTAGAATGGGGTGGGGCAGTCTGAGGTAGAGGTCGTCTGCTTCCTGAGGACAGTCAGGGCAGGGGTGTGGGGATAGCTCCCTTCATAGCCCTGTTGTCATTCAGCATGCATTGAGCACCTGCTGCATGCCGGACCAGGGCTGTGCCTAGAGTGCCCTGGGAGCTTGGGCTGCTGGCAGGGGGACGCAGTGCTTGCTGGGTCCCAGTGTCACGCTGGCCATGTCCAGGCCTGAGGACCCAGCTTCCTGTGCACTGTGCTCAACCCACCCTGGTCCAGGGCCAGCCAGAGGCAGCAGAACAGACATCACTGAGGCTCGGGGTCCAGGCAGCCAGGACTCTGGGACAGTTGGGAGCTGGAAGGTCAAGTGGCCACCCAGCCACTTCCTGCTCAGCTGTGAGGACACCTCTGGCTCCACAGGGAGTCTGCCCCTCTGCTGGAAGACCAGTCACCTGGGAGGTCCGTCCTGAGGGGCGTGGGGGAGGCCAGGGTGGACCCTC